ACTGGAAATCCTAAAGTGTCCAGTTACTTACATCCCACACTCAGCAAAGCCCTGGTCTTATCTTTAGGTTGCTCTTTTCTTTGAACTGACATATCTGCCACTACAGGGCTTTGTGCTCATGTTAAAGAATAAGTTCACTTTTTTTAAAAAAATAAATAAATAAATGCACATCTTTTCTGCAGGTAAAAAAAATGTGCATTTATTATTTTTTTTATTGGGAGCCTGTAAAGCATTGCATCTGTGATCAGCAGATTGTGGGTGCTATGCTGGGCTCCTGCAGACTCTTACCTCGTACAAGCAGTCAGTTACATATTGACAGGAAACCTCAATAAACTACCACAGCACATCGAGAACTACAACCTGACAGGCACAAAAGCTGTCGGTAGTTGCAGTTTCCAATTCACAGAATACTGTGAATGAGTGATGCAGCCAGGCAAGTATGCGCCTTTTTTGAATTGTGGCAGCAGATACAGGGATAAGATCCCAAGTCTGCTGTCACAGTGGGGACTCGGGGTGGGGGGTGCGGAAGCAGCAGCAGCAACATTTACATGTTAAACCCTGAATATGGGTGTAACATGTTAGAAAATGTGAACTTATTCTTTGATGAGCAGAAGTAGATTGCTTTTGATGAAACTTGGAGACACTTCTGAATTCATTCAGGATTCATTGAAAGGTGGGATAGAACTTCAGTTAACATCCTTATGACCTGCATTTAGGCTGCTTAAATCTGCTTTCGTATTATAATAGGGTATAGCAATTTTGACAAAATCTATGTAGGCTTTTTAACCAGTTTCCCGCCCGGCCAATAGCAAAAAGATGGCCGAGCAGGGCTCTCATCGATCCGGGTAGGCATCATATGACGTTCTCCCGGATTGCGCATCACGCCTGCGGGGACACATTGTGGTGAGATCTATCACCAGCTGTGTCCCTCAGACACAGCCAATGGCAGGTCTGACACAGCCAATGGCAGGTCTGTGTACCATGTGACCAATCACAGCAGGCCACGTAACAATTGTAAACAATGGATGGCGTCCTTTCATGCCATCCATTGTAGACAATTGTGTCACTAGCTGTGATTAGTCACAGTAATCATATGGTATAGACAGAGCCAATCACAGCCCATCTGTGTGATGTGATTAGTTGTGGCCAATCACAGCTAATCACGACAAAAAACCTGAATGAACAGTTTTCATTCACTTAAATGCATGCTTATAGCTATGAAATTCTTTACAAATTCATAATATGTAAAAAAAAATACTGATCACTATCCCCAGAGTAGTACAATCTTACATAGTTCCATGGTTAGTATGGCTGAAAAAAAGACAAAAGTCCATCCAGTTTAACCATAAAAAAAAAAGTTATAATCCTATACCCACAGTTGATCCAGAGGAAGGAAAAAACCCAGCAAAGCATGATGCAATTTGCTCCTGCAGGGGAAAAAATTCCTTCCTGATCCCCCGAGGGGCATTTGGATATTCATTGGATCAACTTTACCTATACATTTTAGTATCCAGTTATATTCTGTGTATCCAAGAAAGAATCCAGGCCTTTTTTAAAGCAATCCACTGAGCTAGCCAGAAACAACTCTTGAAGGAGTCTATTCCACATTTTCACAGCTCTCACTGTGAAGAAACCTTTTCATGTTTGGAGATTAAATTTCTTTTCCTCCAGACGTAAAGAGTGCCCCTTTGTCCTCTGTGATGACCTCAGGGTGAATAGATGTACTCCGAGTTCACTATATGAACCACTGATGTATTTATACATGTTGATCATATCCCCTCCCCCCTTAATCTCCTCTTCTCAAGAGATAATATTTATTTATTTATTACAGGTACTTATATAGCACCTTCAATTTACGCAGCGCTTTACATATATACGTATTGTACATTCACATCAGTCCCTAACCCTAAAGGGGCGTACAATCTAAAGTATAAATTCAGTTCCTCTTGTCAGGAATGGACTTGCCAATAGTGGTGGGACTCACCTGCCTTGTGGGCTGCAGTACCAGGGCTGGCCAGCGGGTGCTCTCAACAACCAGAGGCTCACTTCGGCAATTAGCCATCACCTGGGGCTGATTGCAGGTGGTGTATTTAAGGGATGGCCAGACCTGCAGTCTGTGCCTTGTTGTACTGTTTGCTTGGCCCTGGTTTCCTGATCCTGTTTCTGCTGTCCTGACGCTGCCTGAACTCTGCCTGTACTGACCTCGGCTAGTCCTGACCACTCTCCCGCCTGCTCCTGGTACTCCGTTTGCCCGTTTGCTACCGACCCGGCCTGCCTGACTACTCTTGTATCGTATGTCAAATACAAAAAATGCAGCGCTTGAGTGTATAATACAGGGAATTCGCATGAATAGCAGATTAAATGTTCATATTTCAACATGCACCAGATTCCACATTCTTAAATTGTTCAAACAATCATCAGATGAGTAATGCAGATCTATCCGACTAATCAAGGTGCATATAGTGATGGTGATGCTAAAATCATAAGTTCTGTGATGTATCCAAAGAAATCCGTGACTTCCGTGATAGGGGAATAACTGTATAATGCACTAACCAGATAGCGCAAGTACATGCGCATTGGAGTATAATGACCTACTCCTGGTCACAGCCAGATGGTCCTCAGCGTGAAGCCCTCAGGAACACCAGTGCACCACTCTTGCCGTCTCCTACCACCAGGGGGGGTGCGCCTCTTTACAGTAACACGAAATCACTTTATATCCTCTATCGCCAGGGTTGGTGTACTCTCTTATCAGGAGATCATCTCAGGGGCTCAGCAATAAGACTAACAACGGTTCAGCTGCTCATAAACGGCCAGACCAGAGGTACATGTACACAGGATATAAATAGCTTGGCACTTCCCTAACGCGTTAGGGAAGTGCCAAGCTATTTATATCCTGTGTACATGTACCTCTGGTCTGGCCGTTTATGAGCAGCTGAACCGTTGTTAGTCTTATTGCTGAGCCCTTGAGATGATCTCCTGATAAGAGAGTACACCAACCCTGGCGATAGAGGATATAAAGTGATTTCGTGTTACTGTAAAGAGGCGCACCCCCCCTGGTGGTAGGAGACGGCAAGAGTGGTGCACTGGTGTTCCTGAGGGCTTCACGCTGAGGACCATCTGGCTGTGACCAGGAGTAGGTCATTATACTCCAATGCGCATGTACTTGCGCTATCTGGTTAGTGCATTATACAGTTATTCCCCTATCACGGAAGTCACGGATTTCTTTGGATACATCACAGAACTTATGATTTTAGCATCACCATCACTATATGCACCTTGATTAGTCGGATAGATCTGCATTACTCATCTGATGATTGTTTGAACAATTTAAGAATGTGGAATCTGGTGCATGTTGAAATATGAACATTTAATCTGCTATTCATGCGAATTCCCTGTATTATACACTCAAGCGCTGCATTTTTTGTATTTGACATACGATGAAGGGGGTATACGAGGTTTACCTATATGCTAGCAGCTTGAATCCCATCATATCCAGCGCTCGTCCCTCTCTTCATATACTGTATAACTCTTGTATCGTATGTTTGTTATCTGTTGGAGGTTTGGTTCAGTTTGTTTGCACTGTGTTATGTTTAGTTTTGCACTGCGTTTGTATTGTTAGTCGTAATAAATTATATTATTTACTATATCTGAAGCCTGCTTTTCCCTGTGTCAGTCCACACACTTCTGGTCACACCCGCATCCCTGACATTACAACAAGGCCATCCTGACCAGAAGTGGCTGCACAGGGAAGCCATCTTGGCTTGTTGCTGGGAAGGATGGATCTTGATGAGGTTGTGTATTTGTCGCTGCTGGTTTTTGATGACAGAGAATATGCTTATCAGACTCTGAGGGAGTATACCCGGGATCAACTGCTAGAATGTATACGGGTCGCTCATATTCTAGTAGATCAGGGCACAGAATTCTCTGAGGTGCAACCTTTGATTCAGGTTTGTGTAGAGTTGGCTTCATCTGGTACCCCTGAAAGCAGGAATGACTTTTTGCCACCATTTAATGCAGACCAGGTAGAGTCCCTGGTATGGTTATTAGAGGCTGATGTGGATTGCTTCTTGGAGCATTATGCTGCATGTTCACTACAGGTATTAAGGGATTGTATAAACGCAGTGCAGTCTTTGACCAGACAGGCTTTGTGTAAGCTGAGCTTTGTTCAACCCATACTGCAGACATGGTCAGACTTGTTGCACCCAGCCTCAGTCAGCTTACAACGTCATTCCTCCGCTCAAGGCACTCTTCCTGCATCCCCGACAGCACCCCCAGTGACGGCCCAGTATACTCTGCTAACTACCACATATCAGTCCTCTGCTCCCACTTGCTGAACCTATCCTTTCTTTAACCCTGTAAAGAAGTCCTCTGTAGAAACTGCTCCCTCCTCTGTTCCATCCTCCAGCTCTTCTCTGTCTTCAGCTGCCCCATCCATTTACAAACCTGTGCTTACTTACAGTGCTCCGGTAACTAAAACCAGGAAAAGGCGAAAATTCTTTCCAACCAATACCATCCTGCCAGTATCCAAACCGGTCAGCCTACCATCTGAGAACCCGCCTTCCGTGGTGCAGCCTGGTGCCTCGGCGCCCACAATTCAGCCTGATGTCTCTACCCAGCCGGATGTCTCTACCCAGCCTGATGTCTTTACCCAGCATGATGTCTCTACCCAGCCTGATGAACTGATCCAGCCTGATGATCCTATTATGCCAGGTGACTCGGTGTGCCCGCTGTCTTGCCAGATGACTCGGTGCCCGCAGTCTTGCCAGATGACTCGATGCCCACTGTCTTGCCAGTTGACTCGGAGCCCGCTGTCGGGCCGGTTGACTCAGAGCCCGCTGTTGTGCCTGGTGACTCGGGGCCCACGGTCTTGCCAGATGACTCGGAGCCCGCGGTCTTGCCAGATGACTCGGAGCCCGCGGTCTTGCCAGATGTCTTGGTGCCCGCAGTCTTGCCAGATGACTCGGTGCCTGCGTTCTTGCCAGATGACTCGGTGCCCGTGGTCTTGCCAGATGACTCAGAGCCCGCTGTTTGCCAGACGATCCAATGCCTAATGACCCAGTGCCCACTGTCATGCCTGGTGACCCGATGCCCGCTGTCGTGCCTGATGACTCAGAGCCAGCTGTCATGCCTGGTGACTCGGTGCCCACTGCCTTGCCAGATGACTCAGTGCCCGCTGTCGAGCCAGATGACCTGAATCCTGTTGACCCGATGCCCGCTGTCGTGCCTGGTGACCCGATGCCCGCTGTTGAGCCAGATGACCTGGTGCTCCGCCTGGGGGCCCGGTACCTGCCGCTCCGCCTGGGGGCCCAGTGCCCGCCGCCTCACCTGGGGGCCCGTGCCCGCCACTCCGCCTGGTGGCCCGGTGCCCGCCACCCTGCCTGGGGGCCTGGTGCCTGCTGCTCCGCCTGGTGGCCCGGTGCCCGCTGCTCCGCCTGGTGGCCCGGTGCCCGGTGCTCCGCCTGGTGGCCCGGTGCCCGCTGCTCCGCCTGGTGATCCGGCGTCCAGCCTGATGTGCCTCCGTCCGGTGCCCAGCCCGACGTGCCTCCGTCCGGTGCCCAGCCCGAAGTGCCTCCGTCCGGTGCCCAGCCCAAAGTGCCAGTCCTTGATATCCCGCCAGTCACCGGACCCGGGCGGTGGAACATTTTGCCCAGCTAGGACTGTTTGGAGCGTCCTGAGGCCGCTCCTTGAGGGGGGGTACTGTCATGAATGGACTTGCCAATAGTGGTGGGACTCACCTGCCTTGTGGGCTGCAGTACCAGGGCTGGCCAGCGGGTGCTCTCAACAACCAGAGGCTCACTTCGGCAATTAGCCATCACCTGGGGCTGATTGCAGGTGGTGTATTTAAGGGATGGCCAGACCTGCAATCTGTGCCTTGTTGTACTGTTTGCTTGGCCCTGGTTTCCTAATCCTGTTTCTGCTGTCCTGACGCTGCCTGAACTCGGCCTGTACTGACCTCGGCTAGTCCTGACCACTCTCCCGCCTGCTCCTGGTACTCAGTTTGCCCGTTTGCTACCGACCCGGCCTGCCTGACTACTCTTGTATCGTATGTTTGTTATCTGTTGGAGGTTTGGTTCAGTTTGTTTGCACTGTGTTATGTTTAGTTTTGCACTGCGTTTGTATTGTTAGTCGTAATAAATTATATTATTTACTATATCTGAAGCCTGCGTTTCCCTGTGTCAGTCCACACACTTCTGGTCACACCCGCATCCCTGACACCCCTAATCTTTCCTCATAGCTGAGCTCCTCCATGCCTCGTATCAGTTTGGTTGCCCTTCTCTGCACTTTCTCCAGTTCCCCAATGTTCTTTTTGTGAATTGGAGCCCAAATCTGAACTGCATATTCCAGATGAGGTCCTACTAATAATTTGTACAGGGGTAATATGATATCTCTCTCTCTAGAGTCTATACCTCTTTTAATACAAGAGAGGATTTTGCTCGCTTTAGAACCCGCAGCTTGGCATTGCATGCCATTATTAAGCTGTGATCTACCAGAATCCCCAAATCCTTCTCCACCATTGATTCCCCCAATTATACCCCCCTAGTATGTATGATGCATGCATTCTTAGCCCCCAAGTGCATAACCTTACATTTATCACATTAAACCTCATTTGCCACATAGTTGCCCAATTAAACAGTGCATTGAGGTCGGCTTGTAAATTGAAGACATCCTGTAAGGACGTTATTCCACTGCACAGTTTGGTGTCATCAGTAAAGACTGAAATGGGATTTTTAATCTCAGACCCTATATCGTTTATAAATATTTTAAAAGGTAAGGATCCCAACACTGAACCTTGGGATACAACACTGATGACCCCAGACCATTCAGAGTATGAATCATTAACCACTATCTGAATACGATCTTTTAGCCAGTTTTCTTTCCATTTACATATGGATTTTTCCAAGCCCGTAGACTTTACCTTACACATTAGCCGTGTGTGGGGAACTGTGTCAAACACTTTTGCAAAATCCAAGTATACCACGTCCACCGCCACCCCTCTGTCCAAGGTTTTGCTCACCTGTGTAAATACTATGCCCATTATGGACAAGAGCTCCCCAATGTTCCTTTGTATACACAGAGCTGAAGAAGGTATTTCATAAATTTGCCTTCTCTTAGTCCCCAGTCACCCACTCTAGATTATTTTGTAAAGTTAAAGTTGAGCGTTTTTATTTTTCCCGTTACTTTGGAAACATTATCCTACTCTGATCACAGTGTGTTATGAAAAAAAAAAAAAAAATCGGAAAAAAAAAAATCGGAAAAAAAAAAATCGGAAAAAAAAAAATTTAAGAAAAAAATAAAAGTTTAAAAAAAAAAATACTTTTTTTTCATTTTTTTAATCATACAGTCATTAGTCAGTGTCCCTGATCAGCGCCACACCAGTTTTTATGATGATGATGTACTGCACTGGTGACAATATGTAAAAAAAAACAAATTGTGAAATTTTTTTTTTAATTTCTTAATTTTCCAAAAATTATTGCAAAAAAATTACAACTACAAAAAAATCACCAAGCCTCTTACTAAAAACCTCAGACTGATTGCAAAAAGGGCTAATTTGGAGGATATCTCTACTATCCTGAAATTTGTGGACCTCAGGAAATTAGATTGTCAGTACTTCAGGATTGATTGATTTTCAGATATATTATATAGTTTGTGGACCCTATAACTTACTTACAGACTAAATAATAAATACTGATTTGGATTATTTTCACCAAAGAAATGTAGCAGTATACCTTTTGGTCTACTTGGGTTTTTTTCAATCTTTTTGGCCTTTTTTCAATGATTTAACAAACATTTTTAAAAAACACAGTGGTGATTAAATACCACCAATAGAAATCTCTAGTTGTGTGAACAAAATGATAAAAACTTAGTTTGAATATAGTGTTACATGATTGCGCAATTGTCATTTAAAATGCAATAGTGCTGAAAGCTGAAAAAATGGCCTGGGCTGGAAGGGTGTAAAAGTTGAAATGGTTAATATACTAAATGCCAAATAAAAACTAATGTTAGCATACATAATTAAGCAAGGTGTCATACCTTATAAAATGCATATTAAATTGCTTTACTTGTTTATTTTATAGATATTTCTTAAAGCAGAATGACACTGCATGCAAGCACTGTGACGATCGTGGTGTCAGACCCCAGACCTTCTCACCAAACTCGTGACCGAAAGACTAGCCAGTCTAAAACAGCGATGTCATGTGCGTAACAATGCCACGCCCAGCTGCACCCTGCACAACGATTTTCCAGCTAATGGACCACAAATCCATGTACCGGCAGCCTGGGAGCGATTGTTACTGGGTCAGGTTAATTACGCAATTAACCCTTCACACTGCCACCACCTCCTTTTTGTACAAAGAAAGAGGAAACTTGGCAATATCAGCAATACACTAGGATGATTGGATAATCGTCTGTATACCACTATCACCTCTGACAGGTTATACAGAGGGTTAAACACTCATAGTAGCGCTCTTCAGCAGCAGGAATTTGTAAGTTGCATAAAGGAGCTACAGAAACAGTTCAACACTTTCAGAAAATAGATTTATCACTAAAAGGTCAAAAGGGTGCAATAAAAATATTTACCGGGAAAAAGATGTAACTAATATCATGTATATATATATATATATATATATAAATATACAGAGAGCCACAACACAGCAAAAAGGTAACAGGAAGAAGTTTAGGTAGATAAGTACTTGCCAAATCGCCTTGGGTTAAGCAGTTTCCAGTCTTATGAGCTTTTGATCTCCCTCTGCTAGTTCGATGTTAAATGCAGGAAGATCTCTCACACAGACACAAAGCATAACAGCCTCTTTACCAAAATCAGCTGGTGTCTTCTTACAACAGCAAGCCAATTGCCTTATTTGGGAAGAGGATTGTATAGGCAGGGAGCTCAGGCTTCTTGAACTCCGCAACATACACTGATCACATTCCTGAGGGAGGGGGAATGATGGGATAACATGAAGAATTCTTAACAAAATGAGGGCCATGTCTGGCTCTCGTGTGCACAATTGCTACAAGCACCGCAAACCAAAACACAATTTAATTCATTATAAAGAAAACTCACTCACCCATCCATGTCTCCATACTTTATTTTGCCAATTAAACACCCCCTATCATTTATGGCCATGGCCACCTTGACTAAGGGAAGATGATTTGTTTAACTTTCACTTCCTGGAATTCATCTGCACTTAGCTCATGCATGGAGGAAGGTGGCTGTGCTTAGCTGAGAGAAAAAAAACTCCTCTCCTCCTGATGTATAACTATTTTCATAGGTCTGGAAACCAGAAAGTAACTGAAGTCAAGTAAAAAAAAGGTTCAAAACAAGTAAATATGATATATTTTCCTATCTATGCTAGCAGCATGAGAAATAAAAATACTCAGTGTTGATTAAAAGGGTGAAGCTCCATGTTAAGGAAGTTTGACAACTCTCGGAAAATATTTGTAGTGTGATGGTTCCCATTTGTGAGACAGCAAACAATTATGAAAACATGATAGTACTGAATAAAATATATCTTTTGGCTTGTTTCTCATGATGCATGATAATAGGCTCAGAAACTCTTTCTATCTTATAATAATGAAATGCTGGGAATATGCTAAATTTCTGCAAAGGCAAAGATAGCTTCTAAAAACATACTAAACACCATTTCTATGACTATCCTTTAAAATCTGGACTTACAAGCCTGGTGGGTAACATAGAACATATTGATCTGATCTATTTAGATTCATGTAACAACTTGTGTCATATAAGAACAGCCTGTGTTGTGTCAGCTTCATCCATTCCATCAGTTGTAATATGAAGGTATGAAGGCAACTCATTGCTTCAGGCAGCTCATGAAATTCCTATTTAGCAATCATTGCTGACCTCATTCTAAAAATGTTAGTCTTCTGCCTGTTTCTGGTCTCAGCACTTTCTGAACAATCATGTAGCTAAAGAAGTTAGAGAAAATTCATTACTCTTGACCTGTAGGAGAGTATTGAAGCCTTTGGACAAAAAGAGCAATTCAAAGGGAGAGTCAAGGATGTCAGCCTATGTATTTTCACAGAACAGCTTTAAATAGGAAACTATAAAAACTATGCAATGAACACTTTGCCTCTGTCTAGTCTAAACAATTAACTATCCGCTATTTGAACTTAAGAACAAACAGTCCTGCAAACATTATATTATACTGTGTACATTATTAGAAGTAAGACACATTTAATCAGGTTGCCTACAGATGTGTCTGTATTTTTTTTAAATAACATTAATCTTTAGGTTTGCACTCATGTTGAAGATACACTATTGTGACGGGAGTGACTTTTGGGGGTGGGGGGGACCTCTGTATCATCTCCCCAAATCATTATGTTTAACCCACCCTGTGCCTGTTAGGGTACAGGGTGTGTATGTGAATGTCTGAGTCTTGTGTATAGTGTGTGTTCCTTTGTCTAGGCCACATGGCTGTCCATTGTCTGTTTGCCATGT